TAATACCTAATTATGGCTCGAAATATTCAAGTAGATATAAATATATATAATATTGAGATTTTTCAAAATTTTTTGGTTTTAAAATTTATACATAAATTAATTATTTATAAAATTATTGTTCGTTCACAAACTTTAATTTTTTTAAATCTATTAAAATAATAGAAAAAAAAATAATTTTGAATACGTTTCATATCATTTTTCGATTCTTCTATTACTGCATAATAAATTTCTTTTGACAATTTATCAGATAAATTTTTTTTTTAATATTAGAAAAAATTCAAATTTTCCATATTCTGAGTCAAAAATTGATTGAGAGCTGTAAAAAGATTAATAAGAGTTCTGCTACAATTAGGTTAGTTTGAAGATAAGTAAATATTTTATTATATAAAGAATCAAACTTAAATTATTTGAAACAAGTGAACAAACTGGCATTTGAGTAATCAATGTGAAGGTAGATTAGATTTTTTAAATATTTTAGAGAATTATAAGATGATGATTCTAATTTGAAATATATTAAAAATAAAGTTTAAAATGAAATTAGATAAAGTTTTTGTGATACTTTTACAATTGGTTTAGATAAATAGTTCTAAGGTTTCAAATGGTTGTGTTTGTGGTCATGTTCAAAACGAAATAGATTGTAAAAATTCAGGATTTTGCTTTTGGAGAGATAATAATTGTATATTAAATCCTGGCCAAACATATAATAAATAGGTTGATAACTCCAATTCTTGTAAAAATTTTGCAGAAGAAGATTGCAGAGAATAAAAGTAATGTGGTTTTCATTTGAGTTAATGTATTGATTTTATAGAATGCAGTGTATTTAATAAAAACTTATGTTAAGAATCTTCATATAGATGTGTATCTGATGGTTAAAAATGTATAGAAGTGTTAGAATGCATAGATTATAAAACGGAATAGGGATGTTAAAATAGAAATTAGAAAGGTACATATTGTATTTGGGTTAATGAAATAGAGAATAAATGTAGAGATGTTTAAATATGTGAAGAACTCCCAATATATTTAACAAATCATAAAATGTGTAAGTAAGGTTTAAAAGATTGTACTGTAAATCAGAAAGGTTATGGATGTATGTAATTAAGGGAATTATGTAGTTAATATAAAAATGATTTTTAATGTTTTGAAAGTTAATAGAAATAAGAAAATTGTTTTTGGGATGAAATAAATAATATATGTTTTGAAAAAGTTTGTGAGAATTTTAAGTTTTCTTAAGACTATAAATGTAAATAATAATTAAGTGAATGTACATCAAATGGAATTCATTGTATATAGAGGAGGGAATGCAAAGATGTAAAAAATAGATTTGGTTGTGTAACTGATTTTTAAGGAAACAAATGTGTTTATGAGAAAAATGAATGTAAAAAGAAAAGCTGTTAGACAGCTCCAGATACATTAAACAATTATTAATAATGTTAGGAGTATGACAATTTTTTTGATTGTGTTACTTCAGAAAATGGAGGATGTAAAACAAGACCTGTTAGTTGTGATGGTTATGCTGGTGAATTAGATTGCTATTCAATAGAATAATAAAATTGTGTTTGGTTTAAGAATAAATGTGAATATAAATAATGTCATCATGCTAGTTTAAAATATAGACAAACGGAATGTAAATAGTATGGAAATTGTATTGGAAAATTGAATGGAGGTTGTAGATTGACACCATAATTGTGTGAGGAAATTTAAGAATAACAATTTTGCGAATTAAACTATAATAAAGAAAAATGTATTTGGTTAAATGGAAAATGTTCATTGTTATAATGTAATATACTCAAATTACCAAATTATAAAAATCATGAAACATGCTAAAAAGCAAGTCCATTTTGTACTTTTAATTCTGATTATTAAGGATGTGTAGATTATGTTTGTGAAAATGTTTAAGATGAAAAATATTGTAAAATTGATTCTAATGGTGTTTTATGCACTGTAACTTAAGGATGTATTGATAAAGAATGTTCAACAGCCCCTAAATCTTATAATACTAATACTAGATGTGAATTGTGGTTGTCAAAATGTACTGTTAATGTTTAAATAGTATTAAATTAAAGAATATTAAGTGGTTGTGTAGATAAAAAAAAAGATTGTTAGTAGGCTCTCTAAGAATAATGTTATTCAACATCAACATAACTAAAATGTAAATGGGATTAAAATAGTTAAAAGTGTATTGATTAAATTTGTGAAGATGCAAATCTGAACATATACTCAAATGATATTTGTAGACAATTTAAAGTGATGTTAGGTTCATGTATTATAAGATCTACAGGTAATGGATGTTAATAATGGCCAAATAGTTGTGATCTATTAATTAGCCATCAATAATGTAATTTGAATTTAGAAAATGGAACTTTATGTTTTTGGACTGGTATTTCATGTAAAACAAAAGAATGTTCTGATGCTTCTTAACTAATGTTTACTAATAATATTGAATGTAATACATGGGGAGTTGATTGTATTTATAATGAAAATTCAGGTGGATGTATGAAAAGACCCAATTCAGTTGTTTGCACATAATCTTCTAATAATTCCATGTATGATACTCATTAAGAGTGTTAAGCTTGGAATCCGAAATGCACATTTATATCATCTTTTTAAGGATAAGGATGTGAATAAAAAAAATAATAATGTGTTGAGTATATCAGACAAAGAAATTGTAAAACTACATTAAATGGATAAAATTGTTATTGGGATGACAAAACTTAGAAATGCCATGATGAAGATAATAATAATGATGGAATACCGGATTGTAACAATAGAATTTATGGAGAACTAACACATTAGGATTGTGAAAATTTCTTATATAAATGCACAATATAATAAATTAAAGGTTATTGTTCAAGCCTTGAATATTAATGCGAATATTATTATTATGAATAATCATGTTTAATTAATCGCTATTTATAACCTTGCAAATGGGATTATCAAAATAAACTTTGTAAAGAAGTAGCTTGCAATGATAATTTCACCGCTCAAACTGAGGCAGAATGTTTAAAATTCAAATAATTGAATAAATGTTAATTAAAAATAAACTCAAATGGAACATTCGGACCTGGTTGTGAAAATAGACCATCCTCATGCTCGTATATTACTAATCGTATCATTTGTAATTAAACTTTAACTTAATCTAATGAAAGATGCTATTATTTTAACTCTTAATGTTCATATGTATCTTAAGAATAATGTGAATAAATTACAGATAGCAAAAGTAATTAGGTTTGCTAATTATACAATTCCATTTGTGTACTTTAATCACTTGGATAAGGATGCTATACATTAAACAATTGTTCTTATTTGTCAAGTTCAATTTGTAATAGTGCCTTAATTAAATACAATAAAAAATGTAATTTTTATATCAGATGTAACGAAGATAATTAATGTAACTAGAAACATCTCTCATATGGTGGATGTGATGGAAAAAAAACAGGAAATGGAGAATTGTGTTACTATAAAACAGAATATTATTAAAATTCTTGTGTTAATTATACTTAACCAAAAGATCTATTATTTCCTTCATCTAAATCACTCTAAGATAGAACAAAATTATGTTAAGAATATTCATCAGCATACACATATGATACTATTTTGGGCATCTGTGTATACATTACTTCATGCAAATAACAATTAAATGATAAAATAATCTGTAATAATTCAATTTCTGGATCACTAAAATGTGGATTTAATTTTTAATTAAATATTTGTGAAACCAGAGTATGTGAACATTTAACATATGCTAATAACTACACAAACATTACTGATGAAATTTGTTATGAATGGAAATATAATTGTGTTCTTGATAATGCTGGTTGTAAAGGTTATTCAAGTGATTGCACATAAATTAAATTAATTTAACAATGTTATTAATATTCCTGCTTTTGGTAAGTTGATAAATGCGTCAATCATATTGATTGCCGAATTAACACAACTGCTACCACAAATCTTGAATGCTTGTTAATAAATTCTTAATAATGTAGATTAGATTACACTAAAGGTTAAGGATGTTCTTTTACGAGCTGTTCTAATATCAGAAACTAAATTATATGTAATTCAACTACTCTTATTAATGGAGTAAAATGTATATGGACATCTAGTTGTTATTCGGTCTCATGTTTTTCATATCAAACACAATCTTAATGTTAAAATAGTTATGGTTATTATGATTCATATGTAACTTAATGTTTTTGGTGTGAACATAAGAATATCTAATGCTCCAATTAGAAATATTGTAGCCTGGATATCATTACTTAACCCAAATCACATACAGATTGCAATCATGTAAATTTCTTAAATACCATTTATTTTGTTATGAATACAAAATGCACAGTCAAGAAATAATTATGTTCTCAATACCTAATTTAAGATGCTTGTGTAATCACTATAGATGATGTCAAATGTATCTGGGATTCTAATCTTTTAAAATGCATCAATTACTGTGAAAATTTAACTTAATTGATAACTTCAAATGATGATTGTTTTTAATAATATCCTTATTGTATGTAAGACCATATAAATGGGGGATGTGAGCCTCTTAACTGTTCATTGTTAACCCCTTAAACTGATTGTAATATATTTTATTCAAAATGCTTTTTTGATGGTAATGAATGTAAAAAGATTAGTAATTGTAATTAATATCCTTCTACATTATGCTCGAATAGTGCAAATTCAAAAGGAGTACCATGTTTATGGGATATAATTAATACATAATGCATAGAAAAAACATGTTAAAATAAACTAACAGGTCCATATAGTTAATCAGATTGCCATAATTGGCTTAATAATTGTTAAGTTAATAATAGTGGTACTTAATGCATAGAGGATTGCGATTCAGCAAGTAATTCTTTAATTAGTCATGAAGAATGCGAATAATACTATTAAAATAAAAGCTGTACATTAAAAGCGGATTTAATTTAATGTACAGATTTACCAGTTTCATGTTCTTTAGCTTAGTAGAATTAATGTTAATTAGATAAAGATGGAAACTAGTGTTATTTTTAAGTATAAAATAATAAGTGTGTAAATTTAACATGCTAGAATTTAGATGCCACTTTTATGACACATAAAGGATGTAACAAAAAATTAAATATATGTACAGTAAATGATTTATTAAACGGTTGTTAAAATTTGAAGGAATGCAAAGATTATGTGAATGAGGAGTAATGTGTGGTTGACTAATCTAATGTAGAATGTTAATGGATAATAAGTTAGAATAAATGTACAATAAAGTAATGTTAGACAGCTTAATTATAGAAATATTCAGCATATGGATGTCATAAATATTTTGGTAATTCTTGTACAGTAAATGTTAATTTAAATGGATGTGAATTAGGTTAATTGGAATGTAATAAATATACATATAAACAATGTATAAGTGATGATTAAATGAATTTAAGTGGGATAGGTTGTTTCTGGGATGTTAATAAAAATATTTGTTTAGAGAGAATATGTAAGAATGGGCCATTAGTTGTATTTTCTTTTTATGAATGTTTTGGATTTCTTTCTACATGTTTGAAAGGTGGCTGTAGAATAAAAGGATGTTTTGATTATTATTATTCATTAGATTAAGCTTGTGCATCTATATTTAAAGATAAGAGATGTACAACAAATGGTTATTAATGTATTTTAAGATCAAGTTGTGAAGATGTAGTTGTATAAGATGGTTGTACATTTGATGCAAATAATAACATTTGTACATGGATAAATGATAATTGTTATACTAAAACATGTTAAACAGCATCAATAACTTTAAAATCATATGAATAATGCAATTAATATTTATAATATTGTACAGTAAAATAAGATGGAGGATGTACAAAGAAAGAAAGTTGTTAAAATTATTTAATAAAAGAGGCATGTTATGTAGATGATGAAAATAGAGAATGTATATGGGATGATTAAGTAAATGAATGTTATTTAAATTAATGTACAGATTTTTGTGGTGATGGAATAATATCAAGTTAAGAAGAATAGTGTGATGATGGTAATTATTTACCTTATGATGGATGCTATAAATGTTAAATATAATGTCCATTAGGTTGTATCGTTTGTAAAGGTAAATTATGTGAGAAATGTGAATAAAAAGGATGGACTTTAATAAATGGTACTTGTTCATCAATATGTGGTGATGGTTACATAGTAGGAAAAGAATAATGTGATGATGCAAATAATGATGCCTATGATGGATGTTATTAATGTTAATATTCTTGTCATTTAATGTGTCTTAATTGCTTTTAAGGATTATGTATCTAATGTGAACCTGGATACAATGAATAAGAATCATAATGTATTCATGTTTGTGGAGATGGATATTAAGTTTAATTAGAAGAATAATGTGATGATGGGAATCTAGATAATAATGATGGATGCTCTAATAATTGTTTAATTGAATAAAATTGGAAATGTTATCCATAAAATAATATTAGTATTTGTGTCTATAGTATTATACCTAAAATTACACTTACTAAACTATCATTAATTAATTCAGGTATCTAAGAATTTGAATTATCATTCTCTGAACCTGTACGACTTAATGTTGCAGGAATTAGTGATGAATAATTTATATAAATGATTATTGTTTAAATAGAAAATTTAGATAACAACTAATATGACATTGAAATCAAACCTATTCTACCTATCTCTACTTAATTAAATAATGTTGCTTATAAAATACTACTTAACTTTAAAACTAGTGTTTCTAATCCTATCTTAATAGTTACTATTAAATCTACAAATATTGTTAATTAATAAGATAATACATTCATCAATAATGAAGTTAAATTATAATTAAAATCTCCTAATTAAATTTCTACTCAATAACAATCACTTTTACTTAAAGCTGCTTTTCTCACTTAAATTGTTCTATATATTATTTATGCTGTCAGTATTATTGCATTCTTATGTGGAAATTTAGAAATCTTATGGAATCTATTAGATATGCTTTAGCAATTATCTTATATGAAATATCATAACATTCAATTCCCATAACATTTACAAACCTATTTTGAAATCTTTGATGTAGCATCATTTGCTCCAATAACATAATATTTCTAAATTGATTTGTTCCTACAAAATATTTTCCAATTCTAAATTCCATACTTACCAGCTAAATGGAAATTTCTATAATACTAAATCAATTGTTATTTCTTAGAAAATTTTGAAACTCTACTAGTTCTTTTGACATTTGGATTTGCCTACTATATACTCTCATATTTCCTTTACAAACTTATTATTATTACCAAATATTTTAATTGGCCAACTATTGGAAATCATTAATAAAGACCATTCTTTATTAAAATTGCTAAAGTTATTTACTCTATCTAAAAATTAGCTAGAAAATATTACTAATATTTTGTCTACTCTGGATTAATTAGAATTTTCATTTCTAATTTCTATGAATTGGCATTCTCATCTATTCTGTAAATTATCAACTTTAATTAAAAAACTACCTTAAATACTATTATATCATATCTAGCTCTATTTACTATTTTATTTATTATATCCTTTTTAGCATTCATCTCTTCTTATTTAAGTAAAAAATATTAAGTTTCAAAAAATTTATCAGTTTTAGTTGAAGGAATTAAAATTTAAAGAAATCAAAGGTCCAAATTATATTTAGCAATATTATTAATTAAAAAGATCTTATTTATCATAAATCTAGTCGTTAATTAAGGTCTTGGTGCTGCTTAATGTTTAATTACTGCTTTTCTATCAGGATTATTCTCTTGTTATATTAAAGTTTATGAACCTTTTTAAAACAAATTTGAAAATATCAAAATAATCACTATTGAAATACTTATTATGCTAAATTCAATAATCTTTTCTATTTATGAAGTTATCAAATTTAATCAAAATAAAGACCCTTCAGAAATATTAGGTTGGGTTAATGTAGGAGGTTTCACCTTGATTCTGACTTGTACATTATTTATAGATATCTATTAATAAATAATAAAATATTGGGACTCTATAATTACTTAAATTTAAATTTGGTTAGGAATCAAAAAAAAAATCCCAAAAAAAAGCATTTACATTTTTGAAATGGAATTTTCATGATTATTAACTATTTCCTAAAATTTAGCTTTAATATTTATGTTTATTAATAGCATTTTTATATTATTATTCCATTTATATATATCTTTCTCAAAATTATTGAAATATTTACCTAAAACTTTAAAATGTTTATTTAATAAATAAAAAAATATTTAATTTATTTTATATATTAATTTTATTAAATATTACTTAAAATGTCAATTGTCTAAGCTTCCTTTAATGATTTGGTATCTATAATTTATTTTGAATATATAGTCTACAACAAATTTTTCATATGATGTTTTATCAACAATTTCATAAGAAATCTATTTATGCTTTGCTATAGCAATAAATAAAAATAAAACATAATTAATTGCAGGCGATAATGATTAAATTAAAATTTTTCAATTAAAAAATGGTAATACAAAATTGTTGAAAATTATTTACAATTTTGATAACATCACAACATTAAATTATTTTAGGTTCAAATAAAACTTTATTTCAGGATCAGAAAATGGATGCCTTACTATTTGGTCATCCTCTTCATTTTAGTCTTCAAAATATTTAGTAAAATTGACTTAATGTTCAAATACTATTAATTGTCTAGTATTACATCAAAATGAAGATTTAATTATTTCATCTTCTAATTCTATTAATTTTTGGTATTCCTCTAAAAACATTATACAACATTAATAATGGATTAATTTTTAGACAATATTTCATGGAAATGTAGTTTTTTATGGATTATCATTAAATAAAAATGGAAATAAACTAATTACTTGTGTAAATGATAATTTTATTTTGTTAATGGTTGGTTCTAATGTAGAATAATGGAAAATCACTTAGAGAATTAGTGTAGAAAATTAAGGTGCAAGACTGACATTTATTTCAGATAAAATATTTGTATTTTAACCATATTAATCAAATTACCTTCAAATATTCTCTAACAATTTGTCTTCAGAACAATACATCAAAACATTAGATATTCCAGTAAAAGGAGGTAATGAATACTGTTATGAATATTTTCCTTCTTTTTGGATTCCTTCCAAAAATATTATTATATCAAAAAATGCTCGCTATATTAATATAATTTAAATATATACTTTAAAAGAGAATACTTCAGAACTTAAGTTCAATTTAAAATAAAATATTTAATTTGGAACAAAAAGTATTTTTGGAACTGTTAGTGAAGATGGTGAATATATAATTATTTGGGATTATGAAACTAACTAAATTCAAATTAGAAAATATAATTTAATTATTTGAGAATTAATAATACATATTTAAATATAAATTCTTTTGCCTTCTCATAAATAATTTTGATTGAATTTAATAGAGATAAATCTTAGAATGCTTATGTTCTAATTCAAAATCTTAATATAATTTAAGCTATTTCTAATTAAAAATCTAATCATCTATATGGTTTACATTTCATTAAAATATTTTAAAAATTCTCATCCAAATTTCGATAATCTTTCAAATAATGAAATGGATGTGAAATTAATATTTTGCTAAAGTAAAAATAATGTATAAATTTTAAATATAAATTATAATTAAAAAAAAGAAGTTGAATTATTTAAATAATTAAGTAAAATTTTAGATGCTTAATTTAATAGTAAAATAAGGAATGAAATAAAGGTATGATAAATTTTTGATGATCATTAATAATTATCAATTTTGTATTATTTCATTTTCTTAAACTCATTGATAATTAAATTCTTAAATATTGAATAGTTATAATGAACAATCCCAATATATCAAATATTTACTATCCTTTGTCATACAACCATAAATTGAATTTGATGAACAATTAATTTTTGCTTCTAATTTAAATTATTAATCTTCGTGATTTTTAAATATATAGATTGAATTTGAATATTTTAAAATAAGTATTTACTTTTCTTTATTATATATTATTGGAAATAAAAATTATCCATCTTCACCTTCAGAATGATCTAAAACAATTTTATTTTCTGGTTTTTACTTAAATCTTCCATTTTCTTTTTAAAATACATGTGTTGTACCGTCTTTGTTTTATTACCAAACTATAAAATTATCATTTAAAAAACAAACTCTATGGCCAAAGTCGTTTATCGATTTTTGTATCACATATTTAAATTCATAAATTTATTTAGAATTCTTTTCCCAAATTATTAACTGTTAATCTAAACTTGAAGAAACCAATTATGTTTCTGATTAATTTAAACTAATACTAAAAACAACTTTCTAATGCTATTTCAATTCATATTAGGAAACCTTTTTTTCTTATTAATTATTTTTTAAAACAATTATCAATTTATCAGAGCCACTAGTAATTATTTCATCTTCTTTTTAATTTAAAATTAAACATGTAATTAATCCTTGATGAATAGTAGAAGTGAAAAAAATTTCCCAACGATTTTAATTAATCTCTCTCCAAAAATTAATTTATCCACTATAACTCCCAGAANTGGTTTACATTTCATTAAAATATTTTAAAAATTCTCATCCAAATTTCGATAATCTTTCAAATAATGAAATGGATGTGAAATTAATATTTTGCTAAAGTAAAAATAATGTATAAATTTTAAATATAAATTATAATTAAAAAAAAGAAGTTGAATTATTTAAATAATTAAGTAAAATTTTAGATGCTTAATTTAATAGTAAAATAAGGAATGAAATAAAGGTATGATAAATTTTTGATGATCATTAATAATTATCAATTTTGTATTATTTCATTTTCTTAAACTCATTGATAATTAAATTCTTAAATATTGAATAGTTATAATGAACAATCCCAATATATCAAATATTTACTATCCTTTGTCATACAACCATAAATTGAATTTGATGAACAATTAATTTTTGCTTCTAATTTAAATTATTAATCTTCGTGATTTTTAAATATATAGATTGAATTTGAATATTTTAAAATAAGTATTTACTTTTCTTTATTATATATTATTGGAAATAAAAATTATCCATCTTCACCTTCAGAATGATCTAAAACAATTTTATTTTCTGGTTTTTACTTAAATCTTCCATTTTCTTTTTAAAATACATGTGTTGTACCGTCTTTGTTTTATTACCAAACTATAAAATTATCATTTAAAAAACAAACTCTATGGCCAAAGTCGTTTATCGATTTTTGTATCACATATTTAAATTCATAAATTTATTTAGAATTCTTTTCCCAAATTATTAACTGTTAATCTAAACTTGAAGAAACCAATTATGTTTCTGATTAATTTAAACTAATACTAAAAACAACTTTCTAATGCTATTTCAATTCATATTAGGAAACCTTTTTTTCTTATTAATTATTTTTTAAAACAATTATCAATTTATCAGAGCCACTAGTAATTATTTCATCTTCTTTTTAATTTAAAATTAAACATGTAATTAATCCTTGATGAATAGTAGAAGTGAAAAAAATTTCCCAACGATTTTAATTAATCTCTCTCCAAAAATTAATTTATCCACTATAACTCCCAGAATATATATCATTACTCTTTTTACTAAAAGTCAAACAAGTAGGAATATCTATATCAGATTTTCCTTATAATAAAATATAATGTTGAGTTAATTATCCCATATTAAATTTCCATAATTTGATTGAATTAGAAAATCCAGCAGCTAATAAAGTCTCATCTTGATTAAATGTCATAGAATAACAAAATTCTGATTATTTAATTTCTTATAACAATCTATATTTTAATTTTTATTAATTAATTTAATTATTATAGGAGATATCTTCTTAAGTCTTTTATGATAATATTCGAGATTAATATAGAGCATTTATATCCTATCTGGATTAAGTAATCTTATTATAGTTTTCTTCTATAATTTGTTCTTTTTTTACCATCTCCATAATTTACTTATAACTAATTTCTAGCTTATCAATCATTCCTCTCTCTGTTTACATTATCTTCATCATATCTTTTTTAGAATTTTTGGCAATTTAAGATTTATCATCTAAATAATCAAAGAATTGATCAAAATTAAATTGCTCCTTTTCTTTTATTAATTTCACTAGAAAATCTTTTTAATCAAAACTGAAATTAAGAAATGAATCAAATTTCTAAATTACACAAGTTTTCAAATTAGTTATCTTACTTTACAATTATTCTATCATTTTTATTTTTTCCACAACCATTTCTGAAAGTTAATCATGTTAACTATTCTTTTCCTGGTTAAACTCTTCTAATATTTATACTAATTCGATTGCATTTTTTTCATCATATTTAATACATTGTTCACATCTAATTTTATCCTTTCCTTTTACTGTTTTATCGAACAAAACATAAAAGTTTTAAGGATTTTTATGCTTAAAATAACATTGAATCCCCTTTAAATCATCTAATAATTTATACTCTTCCATTAAAATAAAAATAATGAAAAATAAAATAAATATTAAAAAGAAAATCTAAATTCAAGAGAATAATAATTCTAATTTATAATCAAAAGTATTTAAAATTACATCAATAATGATTATTATCTAGACATCATTTTGGAATTTAGAAATATTTAAATCTATTTGATATTCTAAAAATAAAATATTTCATTTAGAGATATATTAAGATTATAAGTTAAGCACAAACTGACATTTTCAAATATTAGCATAGGTTTAAAAATATTCAATTCTTTAAAAACATCGTTAATCCCTTAGAACTTTAGACATCACTTTGATTCATCAAACAAATCAATCTTAATATAGACAAAAACTCTATACCTATAAAAAAAAGATCTTAAAATCACAATTTACATTTTTAGTGGAAAAGAAAAATTATTTAAATTTCCCATTTTTTATTATGTTATAATTATTGTTTTATAATGTTGTAAATTTAGAACAAATAATTGTAAAAACTTGCTTATGTATCTAATTTATTGTTTTAAAGTAGATTTATCATTTCGTAACATTTATTTTTATCAATCTAATTGTTAATTCATAAATCCACTTTTTTGAGATTTTTTAATTAGTCTATTAGAAATATATACAAAAAAATTAATCTTTTGTTGAATCAGAGCATTAAATAACTAAACATAATTATAGAAAGTGTAATATGATAACACAACAAGATTATCATATTATTTTTTTTATGTTTTGTATTTAAGATCCACAGGGATTATATAATTGAATTTGATTATTTTGTCATGTTTAAGATTAATTTTATTCTATTTGAAGAGTAGAAATATTTGTTTTTTTAAGGGTTTTTACAAAAAAATTTAACTTTATTCTTTGAATCTTTAAGAAAAAATTGAGAAAGTATTCCTTCATCAATATTTTATAAATATATATAAAGTTTAACAATTTAATTTACCTTAACTTTAAAAAAAAGAGATTCGGATAAAAAACACAATTAATTTTTGGAATTTTATTAATTATATAAAATAAACATTTCTGGATAGAAGAGGAATATATCATGCTTTAGTTTAAATATAATCTTTTTTCTACTCATTTAATTTATATAGAATTTTACAATAAATTTATAAAATAAAATAGTTAATCAAATAAGTAAGTATTTTTGAAACTATCAAGATGATTAAAAATCTTATTATTGCAGGTTAATCAATCTCAGAAAGAAATTTAGATTATGATTAGATTAGAACTTAAAGTTTTTTGAGATGATTCTCCAAATGAATTTTGATTGGTTTTTAGCAACTCGGAAAAAAAGAAAATTTAATTGCAGCTTTATTAATCTTAAATAAAACTAATGTCTAAATTAAAGCTATCGAAGAAAGAATAGAAGAACAAATTGGTAAATATTTAAAAAAAAGTCAAATTATATGGCTTCACCCTGAAATGTTTAACAATAAATTAATTTTAGAAATATTTAATAAAATTTGTATATTACAGCATTTTATGCTTTATATTATTTTTTTCATCTAAAATGGATTCACAAATTTCGAAAAAAGGATAAATTTTAGATGGCATATATTCAATCAAATTATGTATAAGAGAAATCATTAGTATGGAACTTATGAATTAAAAATTTCTTAGAATTTAATTTATCTTGGTTCTAATATTTATATAAAAAATAATGTATAGATTAATTCTTAGGGTATTTCTGAAAAATAAAGTATTAATAAAATGTGTTAGCTATTATATTTTTATTTATTATGAACTCAAATAAAAATATTAAAAAATAAAACATCAAAAATGATATTTGATATGAAAATTGAATTGTGAATAAGAAATTTGGACAATTAAACCAAGATAAATTTGCATGAATATTCTTATTCTGTGCAAATAGAAATTACAAGTGCACTAATAGTTGATTTAAAAACAGTTGAATAAAGGTAATTATTCAAGTATAAATTTTTTCAATCTCTTTCAATATAATTTAAGTAATAATTTACATTTTTATAGATAGAATATGATATCTAATAATAAAAGAAATTGATCTAGATAGATTCATCAAACATTTGTATAATTTTTATGTCTATAAATAATAATACATTTTTAATAAGTAAAAGAAGGTTTTTTAGAGAAGAAAAAGCATGTACAATAAATATATTACTTAAGCATGTACAATAAATATATTGATTTAAAATATATAGAAATTAAGGGTAGGAAATGTTTAATTAATTGTAATATTTAATTAAATTTTATTATATATGATAATTAATTGCTGAAATAAGACAAATTTATTAGGACATTGAAATAATATTAATGATTTTAAATAAAATTAATATTAGAAATAACAAACCAGAATATATGTATAAAGATTTAGCAATTTAAAAATCTTATCTTGGACTAGCTATTTTGCTTTCTTTAGCTTATAGCCAATAATTAAATGAAGATTTACTACTTCGTAAAGAATACCCGATGGACTCAACATTTATTTCTAGGAATGATTAAACAATTTAATTTGAATTTTGGAGTTTCTATATAGCAACATTTACACCAATATCATACCCTTAAGTTGAATAATAATTATCTTAGGACAAACCAAAAACATAATTACTGTTTTTATTGAAGAATGAAGGAAAGGTATTAGCATTTATGTATGCAAATATTATGTCAGGAAATTATGTAATTCATAATCTTATTATCAATGATATAATATATGAGATAATATATGATCCTAAATATTATGAGGGAATTTGGATAATGAACCTTATAACTTTAAAGAATTAGTAGTAATTATTATTTGAAACAATGGGTAGTATAAATAATTTAAATTGGATTAATATAAAATATACTAAGAAATACATTGAATTTATAGTTGGAGGAACTGGGATTGTAATTTATATAAAAATATTTTAGATAAATGGAAAATATGAATTAGGAGTATTTCGCGGAAGATTATCCTTTACATGGTATGAACATTATTAACGAGTGGCACAGGATGTTTATGGAACTATTTATTGGTTAAGAATGAATGAGCATAAAGAAACATTTGATCTCATTCCAGATGTACTTAATTTTGATGGACTTATTTAAAAAGTATATGAATTTGAATAGTTTGGGACTAGATTTAGTTTATTTGGTTGGGTAAAATATAATTCTACTGATGCTTATTCATTAAAGTAATATTTGGTAGTTAGACTTACAATCTTTAAAAATTATTAAAATGAAACTAATCTTGGGGATGAAATTGTTAAAATAATTATGAATATAGATTTATCAGACAAAAATAATTGTGGATATGATGTTATATCTCATCATTATAGAGTGCCTTACCCAATGTATATAGAGAACCCATAAAATGATAAATTATCTATTAGATAAGAATTACCTTATTAAGAATTATTAACAAAATGGCATTTTATTTCATTTGAATATGGATTAGAAGGAAGAGATTCAAAATCATAATTTAAAGTGAATTTTTTTGAGAATAAAGTTCTAAAAAGTCATACTTTTACTTATCTATTAGGAGACTTCAAATACCATAGTTTATTTATTAATACTAAATACTATGCTATCTTTGGAGGTGATTATTTTCTTTTTGATAAATTAAAAGGATAATTAGCAGGCTTTTAATTTATTACAAATTATTAAGAAAATTATAATATAGATTTTTGTATTTTAATTAATTTTAAATAGCTTGTCATTAAAGCTGTCAAACTTGTTTTGGTCCATTATAGAATAATTGTTTATCTTGTTTTGAAGATCCACAAAACACATATCTGGAAGAATTACATTAATGTTCATGTCCAATAGATCATATATATAAAGATAATTAATGTTTATCTTTTTAAGATTTATATTAAACAATGCTATATAAAGAAATAGGGTAGGATATTGAAAATTTAGGATGTTCCTTTGGATATTTCTATTTGCCAGATCCTGGAGTATGCATAAAATGGTAATAGATTAAATTAATTTAGTCCTTAATCAAATTCTTATAATCTATTATGTATAGATTGTTTATTGAATTCTAAGACTTGGTATAAAGAACCAGTTTGTAAAAAGGATTTAATTACTTCATAAATCTCATAAAAAGATGATGCATATACTTCTTAAATAAGATCTACTTAAGATTATGATTTTTATTACATAGATCAAAATAGTTTAATTTTAATCTTATTGGAAGGAGTTTAAGATTATTGTAACATAAAAGATATCTATATTTAAAATTGTTTTTAATTAGAAGTTTTGCATTTAAATGAATAAGCATTTGGATTTTGTAAGCAAAATTATTATTATTCTAATTTAAAGTGTATTTAATTACACAAAGCATGTATTAAAGTAGATTAAATATATTAATATTGCACAGAATGTTAAAGTGGATATTATTTATCTGAAGATGAGAAATCTTGTATTTAATGTCCATAATTTTGTTAGAAATGTCTTAATTAACATCATTGCTTATAATGTGATTCAGGATTTGGATTGATTCACGATTAATGTTAAAAATGTGGTATTTTTTGTAAAATTTGCAAATTTTCATAAGAATATTAAATTTTGAGATGTTTGAGTTGTTTGGATAACTATAAATATTATTTAACCTTAAATGCTGAGGATTGTAGAATTAATTCAATTGAAAATTGTTTAATTGCATTTGAAAAATCTTCATAAGCAATTTCATTAGACTATGAATTTGAACCGAATTTATCATAATTGAAAACAATACTTGAATGTGCAAAGTGTATAAATGGTTATTATTTTAACCAAGTAAAATCTGCCTGTTTTTAAGGTGAATTACAAAACTGCCATTAATTTTACGTAGAAAAAGTTGGAGTTTTCTCTGAAAATGTATGTTTATATGGTCCTTATGTTTCAGACTAATTATTATACTCATTTTCTGATGAATGTCCTAGATTGAAATAAAATTGTCGATTATGTGTAATGGAATAATTAACAACCAAAATTGTTGATAATAAAAAGGTTCCATTTAAAATTTCTTATTCTTGTATTCTTTGTTAAAATGGTTATTATGCTTAAAACCTATCAGGATCATGTATATAGTGTCCATCAAATTTAAATTGTTTGAGTTGTTTTGAATAAAATAAATATTCTAAGGATGATTGGAAAAATGAAATTCGTGCTTTTTATAGATCCTCTATAGATAAAGATTATTCATAACATAAATTTATTGAAAATGCCATAAGTTAAAATTAATTAGATTATGAAATATTATGTACTATATGTTAAGAAGGATATGAATTACATGAAAATTAATGTATTGAAACATGTCCTCCATCATGTTTAGAATGTTAATTATAAAATAATAAAAACATCTGTATTAAATGTCCATAAGGAATCAAACTTAGAAGTAAAAGTTTAGTTAATAATTAATGTATTACTTGTCCACATAATTGTGAATCATGTTATAAAAGAGATTAATAAGATGTACTTTCTATAAATCCAGTATTCGACAATAAATAATTTTCTACTTATTCATATTACTGTTTATCCTCAGAAGAAGGCACTTTTGATTAAGAATTAGGTATATATATAGATTGTAAATCTGGACCATGCTTAAAATAAATAGTTATAAATTTAGAGTTAATTTGTGATAGTAATTAATATTACCATTAATTATACTCATTTGAAAACGAAGAAAAACGAAAAGAATTTTTACAAAATACTATTTTAAGTGATAATTTATTCTCTTCCTCAAGCTTTTCTGAAGTAAATGTTAACAAAATTAATTTAGTTTGAGACAGATTAGTTTTATTAATTAGCCAATCAGAAAGCCATTAAATAAATCATTATAAAAATTGTTAGTAATCAAGAGTAACAATGTAATGTTGTTGATTAATAACAGATTACTTAAAAATTTAGTTAAAATATTTTCTCTGCCATGTAAGTCTATCTTTTTATATAAAATTAGAGACGTATAACTCGAACTTTATGGAGAAGGAATTACTTCTATTAAATTTAAAAAATAATTTACAATCCTTAATTTTAATAGAGTTCATATTTAAGGATTTAATATTGAAATTGAATTTTTTGAATTTGGTTTAAGTTTATTATAGTTTAAAAGCGTTTTCGATTAAACCATTGAATTAATGGACATTTTCTATCATTAATATAACTTTGAGATTACTTTTTATATTTTGATATAAGATACCAAAGATGTCATTATATCAAACTTTTTTGCAGAAGGAGTTGAAAGAATATATAATCTTGAGTATTTTATTAAAGTTGAATAAATATCTAAAAGATAAACAATTAGAATAGAAAATCTCAATATTATTGGGAGTAATTTTTGGAATACAAACTGTTTATGGTTTGATTTAAAAATTGATGATGTAGTAGAAATGAATGATATAAAAATTGAAAGAACAATTTTCAATAAACCCTTTGTAAATCAAACTCTTGGAGAATTATATATACATTATATGAGAATTACTGAATCATCGATATACTAGACAAAAGCTTTATTTTCGATTTATTAACTGAAATACTTTGAATTAATAAATTTAGAATTTTTTTATTGTTATTTATTAAATTCAAGATTATTTTAGCTTAATAACTATGCGTAAATGTTGGATTTAAATTTTACATCGAATCGGCTTAATGAAAGTTCTTATTTCTTTATTAATGAGGAAACCGAAATTAAATATATTTTGTTTGATAACATTGAATTTGCATTAAACACTTACAGTGAATAGGATAGATTTATAAAAATTACTTAACTTATTAAACCTAATGAAAAAATAGAATTTATAGATGTTAAAATTATTGGAAACAATTTGTTATAAAAATTTTAAGAATCTTTCTTTGATAATTAAGAAGTAACTTTAATCTTTTTATCAGCAAGTTTTATATAAATTGATATTTTTACAATCTAAAAAAATAATGGGATCTCAAGTATGGTTATTGCAGATTCTGATTAGGTTATATTAAATAAAATTTATATTGTGTAACATGCCATTAATGGAATTTATGAATAATATGATTGCTTTTAGTAGTCTATCGTTAATTAATATTATTATCTTTTAATTAGCATTTTTGATGTGCCTAATATAAAAATAAATTAATTATTAATAGAAAAGACTTAATCAATAAATTATCCAATAATTGAAATAAAGACTTCTATTTCAAAAATTAAAACAAAATATCAAATCGAATTCTCAGAACTAGAATTAACTTCAAATTTAATCTTGATAACAAATAAAATTAAATAAGCATCAATAATATTGATTTAATCTGAAGCAAATTATTTAATAGATATTATTAATTCAAGATTTGAAAAGAATATTCTGCATCAATATTTTTAATTAGATTTAATTAACACGGGATTAATATTTAATATTGATTGCTAGTATTGTACAATACTTTTAAGTAATGTAAGTATCCAAAAAAATATAGTTACTAATAGTCCAAATAGTATTCTGTATATTTAAACATAAAATTTAAAAATTTTAAATTCTATATTCACATAAAACAACTTATTTGATTATTCAATTTTATAGCCCTATTTATATTGGGGTTATGAGGATAATCATGAAATATTTGTTGAAGATATATTAGAAAGTTTTCCTATAATAGTTTTAACAGGAAATGGAAAGATAGTTTGTCAAGAAATAATTATAAAAAATGTTACGATTTCTAATTCTACAGGTCCAGGATTATAGATCTATTTAGAAAAAGAAGCCTAAATAAATATCTAAGATACAATAATCAGTAATATTAGCACTTAATTTCTTAATGATGATGAAAATGGTGGAGCTTTTTTATTTGATACTTCTGCTGCAACTTCAATTTAGATTTAATTGAAAAATATAATTGCCTAAAATGTGTTTTGTAGAAATAGAGGAGGATTAATTTATATTCAAAATGGCTTATAAAACACTATTATTAAATTTGAAAATTTAGTGTTAAATGATATATTCTCATTATAAGGATCAATAATTTATATTGAATTTTCGGTATACAAAAAATCACAATAATAAATTATGTTTAATCATTTGGAGATCAAAAACACAATTTAAGGATACTTATAATATCTAGATAAATTTAGTCTCATAGATAATTAATTAATATCATAATTGTAATTTCAAAGAAGCTTAATTCAGATAGCATATGCAAATTATATAAGTTTAAGTAATATAATTGTTATGTTATTAAATTATGAATCTTTTATGACTATATCATAGACATAACATTTAGAAATTCTAAACACCAGTATTTCAAATTCAACCTTTTTAAATACAATGATTAATTTAGATTTAAATGAAAAAGATTCTTAAATAAGGATTATAAATTTTTAAGTCAAATATGTGGAAGTTTAAAATTAAATAAATGTTATTGATAAATGTATTATGAACTAATAAGAATTTGTTTAATAACAATCAATTTGCTCAAATGATAAATTCTAAAAAGAATCTCCTATTCTTTTAAAATATAATAAAATTGAAACTGATTTATAAAAATCACATTGCGTAATAGAATTAATAAATAAACTCTAAAAATATCAAATATAAAGCCTTCTTAATATAAATCCTGCTTCAACATAGATTCAGATTTCATAATTTCATATAACTCATATAAATTGTAAAATTTGTTAAAAAGGATTGTTAAATATGAATATTCATGATGATAAAAGTGTAATAGTTATAAATGAAATTGTTTTAAACGATAATTAATGTGGATACTAAAGTTGCATAAATCTATATAAATCAGTATTAACTTTTCGACTTTTATAATCCTTCTATTAAAATATCAATTCAAAATAATTTGTATTAAAAATACAAAAATATCAATGTATGAGAAATTTAGCATAGAAAGGTACATGTCTATTCATTTAGAATGTATCAACTTTAATTGAAGACTCTATATTTTTAAATAATACAGCTAAAGAATAAGGTGGGGCTATGTAGGTAGATGGTTAAGCAAATTTTTTTATATTGAAATCTATAGTTTAATATAATAAAGCTTTATTTGGTGGTGGTGTATTTCTAAAAGATTAGAATAATTAAAATCTAGTTAGTTAATAAACAATAATTGATGAAAATGTTGCAACTCAATTTGGTTAAAATTTTGCTTAAAAACCTACATAATTATCAGTTTCAATTGATTTAAAACATACTTTACCTAAAGTTAAAATTCTAGAGAAGAATGATATTCTTGTAGAATAAATCTAAGTGGGAAAATATTCTTTATTTTTAAAGAATTATTCAAACGTCCTCTATGTTCCAAATGGGTAAAGTTTATCTAAATATTAACACTTTGATTTGAAGAATAAAGAGTATATAACATATAATTTGCATCTAAGATTGAAACCTTTAGATTCTTTCAATAATGTTTAAGAGAATTTATAAAATACAATTTGCACAATAAGTGGAAGGTTACGTAAGGGAAATGAAGAATCAGATTTCTCAAAAGATTATACAAGTTTTAATGAAGTTTAATTCAATAAATCGGATTACAATTTTGATGATATTATCTTTTACTTAGATAATTAATTAAATACAACTTTAGAAGTATAATTTTATTGTAATTCTGTTTTTACTCCTATTTATGGAAAATAAGGAGAAATTATGGGATATCACAATAATTATTATTTAAGAATGAATATAAATTCATTTCCATGTTAAGTAGGAGAAATAAAAAGTGTTATTGATAACACTTGTGTTCCTTGTAATGCTACATAAGGTTTTTATTCTTTAGTTTTGAATTCAAATAGTTGTTCTTAAAAAGATGATTTTACCACAAGTGAAATTCAATCTGCATAATTAAAATTAAAGCCAGGGTTTTGGAGACCTTATTTTGATACAGATTAAATAAGTTAATGTATCAATTTAATGATTAATTGTAATGGCGGATGGCATGAAGGAGATACATCATGTTATTTAGGTCATATTGGAGCATTATGTGAAGAATGTGATTTACATAATATTAGAGGTCTTGGCCATTTTTCAACAAGTGATAAATATTCTTGTGGTTCCTGTATTGATAAAAGTAAAAATGCTGTTGTCATTGCAGGTATTAGTTTATGGTATATATTTTAATTATCTTTAGGACTTTAATATCAATATTAATTACAGTTAGGAGTAATAAAACTTTAAATGAATAAATGATGCTTAAACGAATAATATCAAGATTAATACCTTCTACAGTTTAATATCACTCTAATTTTGGTATTTTAATTAAAATGATTACTAATCATCTCTAAATAGTATCTGCTGTTTTTACTTTTAGATTCACTTTATTAATTAGTCTTGGTAATTTTGTTAATGCTGTTAGCAATCCGATACAAACAATGACACATTCTCTTGATTGTTTTTTAAAAGATATATTTCCCTTTGAAATACATTATTCAGTTATGTTGTGGTAAATAATCATGCCTTTTATTTATATCATTTTGTTTTTAACCTTATACACTATTGATTTATTAATTTTCAAGAGTGAATTTAGTTTGAATATTATAACAACAACTCTCATATATATGTACATCTATGTTTAACCATTTTTGGTTGGAGGATTAATTTCTCTAATATCATTTAGGCATATTTCAGGTTTTCTTTGGATATAAGCTAATGTCTCTTTTAGATATGACACGAGCATCCACTATGAATGGTTATTCAAATTTTGCATACCAGTTTTATTATTTGTATCTATATTAATACCATTATATTTCTTTATGTCTTTGTATTCTAATAAAACTTCATTATCTCAAAAAATTACAAGAAATAAATGGGGATATTTATATAATGAATATAATTTAGATGCATATTATTGGGAGTTAATTAAGATTACAGTCAAATAACTGCTAATAATCATCCTTTCATTTTACGATGATAATGTTGTGAAAAAAGGAATTCTTTTATTGTCAGTAGTTTATATTTATTATGAAATAAGTTAAAAATATAAACCTTTTAGATCACACATACTAAATAAATTGGATGCTTATTCAGCTAATGTCTGTGCTATTTCTATGGCAGTTGGTGTAGGCATTTACATTGATTAATAGAGTTAATCTTATGAAATTTAAATACCTTATTTAATTATCTTACTCGCATTTAATTAGCAATATTTGATTAAAATTTTTAAAGAAATTGTAATTTCTTTTATCGAAGAAAATGCATATTTTTTTGATAAAGTAAAAGAAATAATTCTTAATTAATGGCCTTGGATACAAAGATATTAAATATTTAAAAACCTACTTTAAAATAGAAATGTTCAAAAATAAAGAATATAAATGAGATATTTGAAAATAAGAAAATATTTATCAGCCAAGGCTAAATACATAATAAAATGTAACCATAATTACGGCGTAAAAATATCAAATTCTACACATTATAAGTCTTTAAATTGATTATTATTATAATATAGAAATTAAAAGTATTAATATTTTTCTGCTATTATATACAATCCTTTAACCATTCGTTACATTCCATTTTCCATTTTCAATTATTTAAATTAGTATATCGTAATTGAAGAATATTTAATTTTTTCTTAGACACAAATAACTTGATAAACTAGTAAATTCCCAATAGTAGCTTTCATCTTTATATTCATTAAACATAGATCATCAATATCTTTTCAATCTTAATTAATCTAGTGAAATTAGCTAAAAATTAAAATAAAATTTATCCATTTTTAAAGACTATGCACATGATTAGAATTAATTGTAATCTTCATTGAGAGATATGCCATGAATTTGGCTGAAATGAACACATAAGATTTATGATTATTACCATTATATTAGTTATTTTTTCTCCAATAAAATCCTTGTTTTTTATACTTTTAAAAGCTCTATGTTAATATTCAAAATTACGATGACTGCAATTCTAAATTATAGTTATTTGAAGCATTTTGAATTCGGCAATAATTTGATGAATATTAGAAATACATTTTACAAGAATATATAAAATTTTTAAAGTCTAATATTTAATGGTAGCTAAATTACATAAATTTCTTTAATTTGTAAAGTCTCTCTATTAAACTAAATAGTAAAAAAAATAATGCCAATAATTTTTTATTAATGCTTACCAAACCACATAACTGAATAAAACCCATTTAGAAATACTATAAATCATTCTTACTATATTATCTATTAGAATCTCTTACTGATTTTCTCTTTAGAAATTCCTATTCAACTAATGTATTTATTTAGCTAATTTGTTAGAATTTTATTTTATATTCTCTGAATGCAAGATTCTCTTAATCAAATGATTTATTGTATGATTTATTTGAGAAAAATCATCTATTAAACATATTCTTTAATAAATTTCCAAAATTGAATTAATGCTTTAAGAAAGTTTGGACAGATTAAGAGGTTAATCTTTTTGTAATTAAAATTCTATTTTTATCTCAGATAACTTTTTAAATTATGTAATTTATAAATTCTAGCTCTACTTTGTAATTGAATTTATTACAGGGATATAAATCTGAAAAAGTATCTAAATCAAGTAAATATTTTATTTTAATAATTCTACTTATACTCATAAGAAATCATTATTTTCAAATATCAACGATAATTGGATATTTGTCTTATTAGATTCATTATTAAAATAAGTGTAATTATTTGAATATAAATAATATATCCTATAAATTTTTTTTATTACCCTAAATTAATTCTCAAAGAGTATTTATATTTCTCTTCTTATAATAAGTTTAAATTTCAGTACCAATCAATGTAGCTTACGATTTTTATGAAATACTTTAAGTAACTTTAAACGTAAACGATATTTTTTCTCTGAAGTTTATTTTGATTCCTTTTTTTATAAAGATTTTATTGCTTATTGAATGATTTCAATTTTTGTTTATATGTTTATAACACTTAATAACAATAAACAGCTTAGATTGATAAAACATATTTATTATAAAACTAATTATTTTAATGTTTCAATTTATTACTTACTAAAATTTTACAAATAGTTTATGTAATTTTTTAATTTAAGAATACCTTATAAGCTTAACAATTAAAATTTAAGCTTAGGATTATCTAAACAATCTTAATAATCAATTCATATTGATTTAAAGTTTTAGATTTTTTTAATTCTAGAAAACTTTTATTCATTTATCATTCATTAATTTTTTTTAATTTTTGATGGCATATTTTGTCTATCATATTGTATTATAATTAAAAAAATCGATTAATTTCATTTAAAAAATGATTATCTAACAATAAGTTTATTATTTCGCTTTATATTTTTAATAATTCAAATCTAATTTTATTCTCTTACTTTATATAATCTGCAAACTACCTAAATATACATGAATGAGTCAATTTCAATTAGAAATATAAATAAAAATCCATTATTTAGATTATAATTTTAAACATCAGATTACTCTGATATATAAATTAACAAAATTACAATCTTAACTTAATTCTTAACATTTAAAATAAATAGGCTTTAACACAAAAAATATTATTTTTAATCAAAATTAATTTGCAATTTTATTCTTGGCAATTATAATTAAAAAAATGATGCATTTTCAATTATATTTAAGATGATGGGTTTAAATAATTAGTGAGAATATAATTAAAGATTTAATTTTATATTAATTTAAATGTGAAATGGTGAATTTTTAAGTTATTCTTAAAAATAAATTCTAAATTTGATAAAAATTTAATTTAATAGATGGAGAATCAACAACACAATGAATTCAATTAATAATATCATATTATTCCTTAGGAAGAATTAAATTAACAATAACTCTAAATATTTTAAATAAGATAAAAGGTACACCCTTGTATTTTATGTTTATTATTACTTTGTGGAATGAGTACATTGTTTGGAGGTTATTTACTATTTATAATCGTTCTAAATAATAATGAATAATCCTAGAATTGTGGAACAATGATTAAAACTGTAAAATATTACTCTCAATTCTTAATGATTGATGGAGCTGCTTAAATGTATCGACTTAAAATATTTAAGAATTCTTGTTATAATTTTATGCTTTTTGATGCCTATTAAGAAATATGACATTAAAACTTAAGTAGATAGATAATTGTCCTTTGAATTTTTTGATCAGATCATATTTTATTTTGTTCTAATCATTATGATTGGTATCCCTTAAAACGAGATCCATTGTATAAGTAATTAGAGTAGAACAATAATTTTATTATATTCCTTTTTAATATATATTCTAATTATGCTTTTAATAATTCAGAAATGCTTTCAATGAAAATTATCAAACATATAAATAATATAATCAATACAATCCTTTTTAATTTTTAATACTTCAATATAAATCATCAATATCTTAAAAGGCAGGTTACTTTACACTTTTAGAAATTTATTTATCTTAGGACTTCCTCTTAAAACAACAACAAATCTTAAATAATTATCATTTAGATGAATATTGTTAAATTTTAAACAAATATTTTCAAGTTTGCAATTTATTCATTATTACAAAAATTTTTTTATATCTTATTTTATGATTTTTCAAAAAAAGTTATTATTTAATTTGCTCAACCAGTATACAATTATTTTGTTTTAAAATTAGTTGGCATTATTTCTTTTTTATTTTTTATAATATGTTAAAGCCTTTTATAAACAAACATATTATTGTTTAATTATTAAATATCTACCAATATACATTTTTATGAAAATAATAGAACAAGTTTTACAGTTAACTTACATTAGAAGTATAATAATTACACTGAATAATCTATTAAAGAATATTAATCTAAAAATTACATAAATGTCTCTTCTATTTTCTTAAGGATTTTAAAAACACTTATAATTGAATATTGTTTCATATCGATAATTTTATCTTCAAATCATACACAACTTCTCATTATTTAAGTCTTCTAAACGCTTGATTAGATTTCCTATCTTGAGTAAAACTTACAGTTTTATCAGACAGATTTCTCCATTTTTTGTGACCTTTCTAATTATTTAAAAAATAATGAATTTTAATTCTGTAAAATTGCAAATTGTTAAATTTTAATCTTTTAAAAAATTAATCTTCAAATAAAACTAGTTTTTGTTAGATATACTATTTTCATAGGATTTAGATTCAATATCAAATATTAATGTGCTTTGAAACATTTCTTACAAGTTTACCTAAAAATGCTTGAGACCATCTTTTTAAGGTTATTTGTAAAAGTGGAGTAAGAAAAAATTTAGATACTGAATAGGCATTTTAATGCAAAGATATTAAAAAATAAAAGGATGAGAAATATTTTTTTTAATTTAACATCAAAACAAATATGAAATATAATTGGAAAATAGAATTAAAATGAAAAGAAATAATCAGACCCTTTTTGGTAAAACTATAATCTAATTTAGGTGGTAGCCATTACTCCAAATGATTAGATAATGATGCTGTTCTACTAGCTGCAGTATCTTCTAAAGTTTTTAAGAATATTTCTTGTGAAAATCATATTTGTACTAGATACATCAAAAATAAAATTTCAATGTAGTTATCGTATTGCATAATAACAAATTTAGAGAGTCATTTAAAGCTGCTGTTAATAAAGTAATTAAGTATCTGGTCTATTGAATAAAGTAAAGAAGTAAAAAGAAAATAATATTGATCTCCAATTAAAATTAGTATAATCTTAATGTCACTTAGATTAATTAATTTCTTAAGTAAATTATCTGAATTTAAATGAATACGTGCATTCTAAACTTTTTTGGAAACTCAAAAATGAAAAGTCAGAGATTATATATACATCATAATTATTGTATATAGTAGCAATTAATTTACTTTTTTTTATTTTGTTTTAGATTTAGAATTTTTAATAGAATAAATATCTGAAAAATAAATGTTTGTTCCTTTAGATTTTAAAAATATAAAAATCATAATTTCTTTTTATTAATAAAAAATAGGGATGGGAATAAGTTTTTCAAATCAATAGAAGAAATCGAAATAAAGTACTAAAATAATTAGGTATTTTCAAATCATAATAAGAGATAAACATTAAATAAGATAAAACAGTATGAGGAGGTAATCAATTTACTCTCAAGAATAAGAATGCTTGTTTTTTGACTCCTTTACAACAAGATGGTTAAAAAAGAAATACTAAATATAATTTGTTAAAGAAAAAGAAATCATTTACATTTTTAATGGGTAAATAGCAAGATAGTAAATTATTACAAAAATTCCCTAGAATACAAAATTTTTCATCTTCGGAGCCAGACATTTTCTATAATTTAGAATAAATAAAATATCTTGAATGGATTGGAAAATATGGAAATAATTTTAAGAAGACTGCTAAATGGGGAATTAATTGGGATGGATAAATTCTTTAAAAAGTTGGAAGATATTATAGTAAAATTTTTTATTTTATTTTGAAAAATATTATTCTCAGAAGATGGGAAAAAGTTAGGTTAATGGAAATAATAAATTATGAATTATTGTAGGTAAATATCAACCATAAAAGAACATTAGTCAGGTCGACGTTTTTGAAGAGGGTGAATACTATGATGACTTAAAAATAGGTATATGGAAATATATTTATTAAAATAGAGTGATGTAATATTGAAATATTATAACTAGTGGTTGTGGATGTTATGAGGAAAGTTAGAAAAAGATAGGGAGGTGGATAGAATTGAGGGATAGTTTTTGGGATAGGGCTTAAGTTACTTATAATGGAGAATATAACAAAAAGGGTAAAAAAATAGGTTATTGGGATATTAATTTTGATAGATGGGGAGATGGAAAATATAAACATATGTAAATATTATATAAGAATAGAATATTAGTGGTGGGGGACTATATAGTGAAAGAGAGAGTTAGATTAAGATCGGGAAGTGGGTGGAGTTAGATGAAGAATTTAAATGGGAGAAATAAGTCACTTATGAGGGTGAATATAATATGAAAGGTATGAAAGTAGGTAGATGGGATATTAGTTATTGTGTTAGAGGAGAATGGCAATATAAATAAATGTAAATATTTTATAAGTATAGGCATTAAAAATATAATTAGTGGCGGTGGATCATATGGTGAGGAAGAGGGTTAAATTAAGATAGGGAGGTGGGTAGAATTATGGGAGAGGTTTTAGTGGAGAGCTTAAGTCACTTATAATGGTGAATATAATATAACAGGTATGAAGGTAGGTAGATAACAGATCAATAAATTATTATATTATATCGTATATTTATAGTAAATAGAAATTTCTTAAATTTGAAACACCTTGATTTTTAAGTGCAAAGTTAAATTTAATTATAAAAAAGACACTAATTTATACAATATAAAGTTGTACTTTATAAATCTATTTAATTTTCCCCCATGTATAATGCTATCTTAATAATGTTAAAATTTTATTCAATTAATTGAGAATGGATTATCTTATTATGGAAGTTTAATTTTGAGCTGGTAAGATAACCAATTCTTCAAAATAATGCTATTTTATATAAAAATTATAAATTTAGAAGACTTAAAACTTATGATTTTGCAAATCATCCTGAAAAACTTTGAACTAAGAAATTTGATAAATTACTTGAACTTCTATCTGTTCAAAAGAAATATGACAGAGAAATATTATTTATTTATCTCTTCCATCAAGATTGATTGATCATGACTGGAGATCCCTCTTGATTAATCCATCAAGATTATTAAATCTAATCCGGCGTCCTATTCTTAAATTGCCACCAAAAGACTAATGATTGGGCTGTAATACTGCCTTTTAATTAGTATTATATTCTACTTTCATTGTCCCTTAAATTTAAAGATAGCTTAAAATAGTTATTTAAATAATGAAATTCAAAGTAAAAGAATACATAATCGAATAGTGGATTTCATTTAATGAGAGGGAATTTTTCTAATAATTAAGATTAAATATAAATTGTAATATCCCCTAATTTTAATTGATAGTGACTCAGGCATAAAGTAATTTATTTGAGGCTGGAAAGAAAGAATTCATTAGATTTCTTGCTTATAATTAATTTAAATTTGATTTTTAGTCATAAATCAAGGAAAATTTAAAAACTGAAATAAATAAAATTATATTATTATTACTTAATAATATCTTAAACATTATTAAAAGTTTCATAATTTATTTATTAATAATATATATTTAATTTATCATTATCAATTGTCTAATGTTTATGGATACTAATATTGATTTAAGTAGTAAACCTAAAATTCAACAATTTGTTTATCTATTAATCAATTTATAAATGAAGATCTTTCATTTTATTCTTTTGACCCATGATTTATTAAATTTTATTCGTGATCATTTAAAATATTTTTAATACATATCTATCATTATTTAATAATTCTAGACCTTTTAAAAACTATAAATAAATTCTTAATTTATATTTTAAATTTATTGTAACAGATGTTCTATTTGTTTATGAAATTGTACATGCTATTGTAAAAATTAAATCAATTTCATTGTCAGTTATTTTATAAGATAATTTACTATTTTTTCTATATTAAATTTATATTAACTAAATTTGCTCTTTTTTTTAAAGATTTAATCCATTTACTATTAACTAATTTATTATCCTATCCAGTTTATTAATTAATTCCTGAAAATTATCTACAAACTATGAAATTATTATGTATTCTTCATGTAATCTTAATTTTCAATTTATTTTGGAATCATTTGATTGTTCTAAATTATTAAATCCTTAACTCTGTTCCATTCTCTCAACCAATTTTTATAATGGAGTTACAATTGATTATTCTTAAGTTGAATCATCAAGACTTTAGAGAGTCATAATTGCTAATTTTATAATATAATTATAAAATTAATTAAGATTAAATTTTGATTTTTTTTTTTTATTTACAGATTTAAGTTAAACTAATATCTGCTTAAATAAATCTAATAATAAATAAACAGATCCTTTAGTAATTAATTATGGACAGATTTCAAATTCTTTTAAAAATAAAATAATGAAGATCGAATCTATTATTTTATCATTAAATATTCTTATTAATATTTTAAATTAAACATTATTAATTAAGGAGGAAAATATTTATTATAAATATAAGTCATAGTTTAAATAACAGCTTAAATTAATTTAACACAAGCTGGATTCATTTCTTGAAATA